AAGTCAAAGACTGAATAAATGGGCCAAGTGTACCAATGGTCGTCTTGGAAGGTGCCTGACGCATTTTTTTAATGTCATTTATTCCATTAATTAATTAATTTCAATTTAAAAGAATTTATTTATTTCTGCAAGTCACATGGACTTATCCTCTGAAGAGGTGGGCTGTTGTCTGTGTCTTCGAGTAGAGCTTGAACTTTAGCCTCCACCCACCGTTCATGGATTTCATCACACATATCATGTTTTGTGAGCTGAGTTTCCAAACAGTCAGCATTGCGTTGGCTTTTTCGGGTGGATTAAATTTAAGGCCTGACGAACCATGAATATCAATTGGTGCCCTCGGTCCATCCCTCTTTAGGAGGGATTTTGCAATGGACCATATAGCCAGATGTTTGACTTGTGCATTACTTATTCTTCCCCCCAGTTAAAGTGCGTTTTAGGGGTCATGCGCCTGATTGACTCCGTGGCCGAATTAACTGTCGTTTTACACGCTGGATTCCTGGTTTCTTACAACAAGTTTCGTAGCGTCTGCTACGATTTAACAAATGATATAGCCCAGGAAGTTCTTTGTGTCCGAAAGTGTAATCTTCCTTTTTATTGTTAGTGGCGCGGGACTAAGTTCCTTGTACTGCGACCACTTCTGGCCTATTGTACCAGCCCCAGATGATAGGTGAGGGTGATTGTGGAGCAATTGGTGGAATGAAGATTTGCAAGGGAACCAAAGTACTCGGAGAAAACCTGCCCCAGAGCCACTTTGTCTGTCACTAATCCCACTTGACCAGACCCGGGATTGAACCCTGGCCACCGCGGTGGGAAGCCAGCGACTAACCGCTTGAGCTATGGCGGGGTCCAAAGTGTAACTTTACTTTTCGACAACCACAGTATACCGAAGCAATAGAGGCTGTATAGTCGCGCGCCGCTTTATCGGCTTCTACCCCGATTTAATTTTTATTTTCGGTGATATTAATTCAGAGGCGAGGCTCTGAAACATGTTACAATCTGTGATTTTCTCAGTTGGTTCCGAAATATTCATAATTTTGACATGATCCGGTATGTGTAATATTATTGGTAGGTTATCTGAGTCCAAAATATCTGAGACAGTAACATCTGACACTCTGATATTTTGGTCGATGAAAATATGCAGTAAATCACCATTTCCCGCAGGGGAATAATGATTGGGGCACTGTGGTGCTGAAATTGGCAGCGGACTTTTGAGTTTTCAGATTGGCCTGCTGGGATACTTGCCTTGAGCACAGCCTTTAATTCGTGAAGGGTTATTTTGAATGAGCCATAGAGGGCACTAAATAGGGTTTTGCGACTGATGGCTTTACAGGGGTTTTGTTTCTTCTCCTCTGCCGAGTTTACGACGACAGACCATGGCTCGCTCTTACCCACGGAAGCTGGAGTGTGCGCTGCAACATCCTCAATGTCGCCCAGCACTTTGAACAGAACTTTCAGCTGTGCCTCCGCGTCGGGAAATTGTCCTATTAACCTGTGGCACTCTGATTTTAAAGTTGAACATTTATTGTCCAGAACGGCTTGTATCCCGGCACTGGGACGTCCGCCACCCTGGACACGTCACTCCGTTCGTAGTTCGCAGTCACTCCACTAACGTCACTGAAGAACAATGTCCACCACTAGCCCACTCAATCCTCTGAGTCAACGTCGAAATCTGACTCTATAACACTCGTTGGGAAACCCCCTCTTTCAAATACACTGTCTCACAATCAAACCCGCTCTTCTGGTCTTCTTGAATAATCGCCAGACTCTCTACTTATCTCTGGATCACCAACTACTTAAGCAGTAAATCTACAGCTCTGGAAGACAATTTGACACTTGAACTTCATCATATATATCCCAGTGGCACGTACCACACAGAAAATACTTCTACTGTTGTCAAAATAGTTATATGACCTAGCAAAGAGTCAAAGAGAACACAGTTCCTATTGTTGTGTGGTTGTGGGACGTGTATACTGAGTCGTTGCCTACCAATGATCATGAATTTTTGTCATGCTTTAAGCGAGGAATTGTTTATCACGCCGTTGTATAGCTATACATGTTGGCTCGTAGAGTACAAATCTACTTCCTCTCCACTTCTTAAAACTTGCTATTCTTTTCAGTCAGTACGGTACAATGCAAAGAAAAGGGTTCGTTGAAGTTGCCCCAGTGTTTCAAGTGAGCATCATGCCATGAAGACGAATAGGGGAGCAGACATATACGATCGTAGCTCCATAATTCTTAACCTAGCCACTGGATGGAGGAAGTGATCAGCTTCACGTCCCGGCTCGGCGGAAGAGCCTTCATTATCCATCAGACAGGAAAGTGTGTGGGCCCAGCCAGTCTGAATACTGTGGAAAAGAGAAATATTATCTTCCATCTGCCGGGAATGGAACGCGGATTCCTTGGTCGTATAGCCCACAGACTAATAACTTACACTACTTAAGCAGTGCAACTGAGTATATGACACTTGATTCCTCGCGATGGTATTGATTCTTTCGAATGTGACACCCCGAAGATGGAGGTAGCAAGATTCTCCTACCAGACTATACGGTATCACATCCAAGAAAACCATAAGGCAAAAGGTAAAGTTGTCCTTGCGCTTTATTAGTTAAGCACTATGCACCTTTCTTACCCTTGGCACTAGATGGAGGTGAGTGGTCAGCTTCACGCCCCTGTCATTTTACCCCCAGGGAAAAGAACCCCAGGTACCCATTGAACAGGAGAATGGGTGGACCCTAGAGCTCGTCTCGACGTTCTTAATAAACAATTTTGCCCTGTCAGGAATCGGACCGAGGCCGTTTAAGTCAGGAGCCAGTAGCTATGCCGACTGAGCCTTCCTGACTCCTGGAGAAGGCAGTAAAACACTTTAATCCAAATTTATTAACCAAGCAAGTAAGTGAGCAATCGATCGATCGATCCGCCAACCAATGGAGCAGTGATCGAACCAGCCGTCCGAATGGTCAGACTGAAGATTAGGATCAGAAACACGTGTTTCTGCAAGACACCTATGTGAAATACGGGTCTGCTATAAGTGTCGGCGAAAATTCCATGATGAAGAGTTCCCAGTTGACAAATAGTTCACAATTTGGTGAATAAAATTTGATCAACGGCAGTCTTAATAGGCAGGAAAAAGGAACATATGAGCCCAGTGCTTGCTGAGGATGACGTCAGATGATGTCGGAACTAGAATTGTATAATACAACTAGAAATTCACTAAAATGTGCAGAAGGGCAAATAACTTAAATAGCATGAACAATTACACCAGCAGTTATCTTGGTTCAGGAGGCTGGAATGTCAAGCTCTGGTACAAGAACTGAAACAAAATTGCTGAAACTCACCCTATGAGCCAACAATAATCCACGCAAACCTTGCAGCCAAGCGATTTAGCCAGCAGGCTTCATTTTTGCAGTTGGTTTCTGCAGTGTGTCGTCGAAGGTGAAATCGGTCAGCAATTGACTTTCTTTTCTGATGAAGTGCGGTTTCACTTGCAGTGATACATAAACACGCAGGGTAATCACTAGTAGGTTTCATGGAATCCACATCTAACCCACTAAGTCCTGCTCCGTCCAGAGAAAGTGGGTGTCTGGTGTTAGCAAAAAAAGATTGGTGGACCTGTGTTTCTTTACCGATACAATTAATTACGGAGGATATGTAGAAGTCGTTGTCGAGCAGTTGTTTGCAGAGTTAAACGAAGAAGAAAGACTTTGGCAGGTTTCAATAAGACTCAGCTAATGCCCACACTGCACGTGTGTCTGTACAGGTTTTTTCCGATGTCTTCTGGGACAGAATTATTAGCAGTGATATATGGCTAGCAAATTCACCTGGTATTAATCCTTTTGATTTATTTCTTCTGGGATTGTTTGAAGGACAAAGTTTACAACAGTAACTCCCGAACGGAAGAACTAAAAGAGAATATTCATTGGAAAACTGGAAATATTCAAGCAGAACAGCTTCAACGGGTAACTCAAAACATTTTCCGACGGTGCGAGGAATGCCTACACGTAGCGGACCAGCATCTGCTAATTGTAAATACTTCATTCTGAACGTTATTGACCAACAAGCATATTGGATTCATCGGCATAATTCGTATGCTCCTTGCAGCCGGCGGTGCACTGATCGCCATGGAGCGCAGAGCTGTGAAACGACCAACAAATGCAAAAATTTCCCTACATATACTCGTATATCAGAACTAAAGAACCATGGGTGTACAGATATTACAATACACCCCTTGAATTTAGTTACATATACATCATACGAGAACTGTATTATTATAAGTGTTATGAATCTTAAACAGGGCCGCGCCATAGCTCAAAGCGGTTAGTCGCTGGCTTCCCACCACGACGGCTCGAGTTCGATCCCGGGTCTGGTCAAGTGGTATTTGTGGTGGACAAAGTGGCGCTGGGGCAGGTTTTCTCCGAGTACTCCGGTTTCCCTTACCAATCTTCATTCCACCAATTGCTTCACAATTACCCTCACCTATCATCTGGGGCTGGTACAATAGACCAGAGGTGGCCGCAATACAAGAGACTTAGTCCCACCACACTAACAGTGAAAAAAATTATGAACCTTAAGAAGATACACATGACGACATGTGACCACAACGAACGAGTTACTGGAACAGATTTTTGGCAGTGATAATGCAATTAGGTATGAAAAATATTATGTATCAGTGAAAGAAATTATTTTGAAATACACTAACCAAGTGGTTGATGTAATGGCAACTCTATACACTTGTGTTTGGGAGGTGCTGTGTTCGAATATCGGCCGGGACACCGGCTATCCCGACTGATCATTCTCGTGGTTTTACGCAGGTCCTGTATACTTGTCTAGATAACACCATAATTAAGCCTCGATGGTGTCTGTACGAATCCTATCCAGATCATGGATCCTACCATTCGATGTTATGGACCCGCGCAGTCCGAGATAATCTCAACGCCGTAAGATAAATCATAAAAGAGAAACATACTAGGGCAAATATTGATTTTTCATTTCTTTTTTTACAGAATTTCGAATCACACTAAAAGGAGCTAAGGAGAAAATTGGAGACTGCTTACAAAGCAGCAGTCGGTGTAGTACTGCACTGTTTCCCACTTGGCTACACCTGTGTAACACAGTTTGGAGTGGAAAGTTCGCGATGCTGGAGTCTATGTGGGTATGGACTCTGGCCACGGGTCTTATAAGTCTTATCTTGTACTTGCTTGGCACTTGGACCCAAGACCATTTCTCCAAGAAAAATGTACCGCACCTCAAGCCTGTACCATTCTTTGGGAACGTCGGACCACTGGCTTTGAGGATGGTTTCTTTCCCTGAATTTGTTCTTGACTTGTACAACAGGTTTAAAGGCCATAAATATGGCGGTGTATATGAATTCTTTAATCCAGTTTTTGTGCTGAGAGATCCCGAGCTCATAAAGATGGTGACCGTGAAAGATTTTGAGCACTTCCTGGACCGCCGATCTCCTCTAAGTGAAGAAGCTGAGCCGCTGTTCGGAAAGGGTCTATTCAATCTCAAAGGTGAGTTCTTCATTCCGAATAGTCTACTGCTTCTGTGGCACTGAGCGGTGCAGAATTGTTGCCAGTTCGGATGTTTCTCAGAGCACTAAAGAATAAACTAAACCGTGTGGAAAACACCTCTGAATATACTCTAACCGTTTGCTTACACTTTTGGCGCCACCTCCTATCTAACCGTCCTTTTTGGCCCCTTTGTTGCTGGTTGCAGCTTCTCCTCCAACCGTTCCCTCTCACCTGTTGGTACTCCGAGTTTGCAGGTTGCTGCTGGGTCCTTCTTGCCCAGTACTTTCCTTTTTGTTGTTGTTGTTGTTGTTGTTGTTGTTGTTGTTGTTGTGGATATTTGATGTTTGCCCTATATGGGTTACATGAATGCTGGGCGCCAGTGAGCTTACTATAAAGGCTTATTTTTCAGGAAAAGGGGGAATGAACCGAAAACTACAGGTGATATGTACTGCATTCGCACTAGAGCAATGAGATTCTGTCTCAGGGTGCATAGAGGCCTCGCGTTAGCGGGAAAAATAAGAGTGTTTATAGCTATGCACTACACTGCACGGTTTAATGAGCACTTTTTGATATTCAGGTAACACCAATTGTCTTTAATCCCTTAAACAAACTTGAAATCACTCAAACTTTTGCAACCTGGATAGTTATTTATCGACTGATTTTTAGCACAACACTTAGAAGTGATTACACTTTCGCTTAAACTTTTAAGCCAAATTAAGGTTCACAGTAATTTTTGCGTCTAATTAATTTTGCCCAGTTATGAGAGACTGTTCCAGTAACACTCTTAAACTTAATTTTAATTCTAACTTTGACTTTTGAACCAAGTTGCCAGTGATGCTAATTTTTCGGCTGTACACTTGAAGAGTTGTTCAGAGACTCCTTTAGCAGACTGACTGCTTTGAAACAAGAAATCTTCACAGCTTCAGCTCCGCCTCCAAGTTACTACCCTAATTTCGGCTGATTGGAACAATTCGAAATTAGGGAGTTATCCACAATTCACACCTAGCTGTAATTTGGGACTTTGCAGCTTAAAGTCCTAACGTCGTTTTTGACAGCAGCTTGAAAAATTATACAAGTAGCGTACGTTGAGGTCCTTCCCACTTTTGACTTACGGAGTTAAAAACCTGTCAAGTGTTAACTTTACCAAAGGATCCCACCGGTCAACTTTCGAACTGAATTTCCAGGAAAGCTCTGCGGGGTGCTTCCTGCCTGGTCTTTGTAGGATTGAAGCATACCCTATTCTTGAAACCAAGAGTTGGGCTAAGTCACTCTTGAATTTTCCTTTCTACATCCTATGTTATTACTTAAAAAATATTGATTACAAATAAAGCTGGTGGTGTTAGTGGTACGGCTACAATACATCATTGATAAATAGTGTTATAATTCATTACATCACTAGAAGTTAGTGTATTGTACAATATTTTAAACACATTATTGGAATGATAATGGTAATGCCGAAGACCGAAGCTTTTGCCCTTAAGACTGCCTAATCAAAGCATGATGTACACTCAAAGATATTTAGGCAAAAAGAAAATATTGCCGATGTTTTGTAGGTTTGTGTTACTTTGGATTGTAACAGGAATGAAGAAGTGGAAAGGATCTGGAAGAAGGCGGTCGTGATGTTATCGAGGTAATATTCCAAAATTTGGCTGTGGGACTATGGGAAATCAGAGAAAAGCCCAGTCAGTATTTTTGTAGTCAGGCCTCGATTAGAATAGAAGACATATACTGACAGGTAAGACAGGTAAACACGTGTACATATACTAACACAGCATGTAATCCAGTATATTGACGCTGCATAAGTCTTATATATTTACACAGTATGTAAAATTATAAATTCACAGCATGTGAACAGATACTTCGACACAACATGTAAAACGATACATTGACACAGCATAAAAACTGATAACACCAACACAGAATGTAACCTATATATTGTGGCGTGTATACCCGTTGGTAGACAATGCCAGCAAACACACGCTGCCAACAGTATGGGAACAGTGTTTTCTTCATATGCGGAGTGTGAAGTCACACAACAGTATGTGTCCGTCACGCGACATGTTTCCTACCCGATGCGCCGCGATGACGTCATTGACGCTTGGATGACGCAACAGTACTGTTGATCATGATGTTTCCATGCTGTCCGATTCGAAGGTACATGACGAAGGCCAGACTGGACGAAAACGAGTAGTGGAACCTGGTGGAACGGAGTACATAAGAATGCAGTAGGTGGGCCTGTGAGGATGTAAAGTGTGATTGGAAGATTCTATGTGTAATATATGATAGCGAGTAATAGCTGAGAAGTCAGACAGTTAAGACTTATTATGCGACTCCAAGACTTTATGTGTGCTATAGTGCAGTGAGATTGGGAGTGTGTAATTCATTGTGATTTGTACAGATTCCGTGATATAAATATGTGAAAACTACAGCCGATAGAGTGAAGAGAATAGCGTGAAGTGAGTGTAAATTCTATAAACTCGCAATAATGTAATAAGTAATTGTAGTTACTACTTGTAGGTTGTTAGTATAACCAATTACAAATCAGAACGGCGTTTCAGTAGCCAAACGCAGTAAAATATTGACACAGCATAAATCTTATATTAAGATAGCATGTAAATAGATACTTTGACATAATGTGTAAGCCGATACATTGACATAGTATAAAACAGATTCGCTAAAACAAAATGTGAACCTATATATTTACACAGCACGTAAATATATATTTTGACACAATACTCGTTCATAAACCGATACACTGGCACTGCATAAAAACAGATGTATTAAGAAAGGATGTTAACCTGAATACTGACATAGCACATAAACCAATGAAATCAACAAATTCTTATTTCTTAAACCTATAAATAATTTGGAAATTGATACAATCTCCTCCTGCAATTAAAAAGCTTAAGATATCTCAAATTCAATATAATGTACGCGTCGATAATTACTAGATAAATCAAGATGCTGAGTATGAGTGAATGCATTCTAAATGTTTATGACAATTGTAGCTCTCATATATTTAAGAAATAAAATGGATATTCTCCGACCTGTCACAAGTAGGATATTTAACCACTTGGAAGTTTCTGTATGTAAATGTTCCATGGCCTTACAATTCTAGCTAACTGTGTCCTTGTTACGGACATGCGCGTCTCCAGGAATTTATCCGGGGGAAGGGAGTCAGAATATAGGCTTACATGGTGTTTCAGTGCACTTTACGAATTGTCCTAGAGTTTTGGTTCTCTGTATCAAAAAAAAATATGGGGCCACAAAGAATGTTCAATTTCTTCCATTCTTAATTTTTGGTATACATGTGTTGGGGTATTATTTTCCCTTTTCATTTTCAATTTTTCCACAAATATAAAGGATGGACAGATGCCTGGCTTGCCCTCGGGCACGGTTTCCATGGTTATAGATGTACATACTTCCTTTGGTAACTGTTGTTGCGTTAGGTTAGTCAGGTCAGGCGACGTTAGGTTGGGTTAGGTTTGCATAGATTGGGTCGGGTTTTGTTAGAGAAGCATAGGTAACTAGAAACTTGAGAACTGCGGCAAAACTTCTTACGAGGACAGAATAGGACTGCGCTTGTGTACTACGCTCTGTCCCTGTATTACCATAGAAGACTATTCGTTTCCCAACCAGACAGTAAGAAATGAAAAGTGAGAGTGATTTTCATGATGGAGACGGACTCAGATTATCAAATCGCAGAACAATGATAAGAAGCCATAAAAAGTTTGGGGGTGGGGTTATACGTGTGCATTCGCAGGCAGCAAATTTTTTCGTTGTCACATCAACCTATCGCCCTTTTCATCGCAAGCCCTGTGCATATGCGTATCTTTAGTCGTTTACTTAGTCTCATTTAGCACAAATTGAATGGGAATGTTGAAACGCCAAAGTCTCATTTAGCACAAATTAAATGGGAATGTTGAAATGCCAAAAACGGAGATGGACTTTTAGCTTTTAGTTTTATTCACGGATATAGCTCATCATTCGTTTATGGGGAGGACTAATAAACGGAATTAATCTCACTTTAATATGATTTGTTTCACTTATTTATTCACACTTTCATTCACTCACAGGACAACGATGGAAGGACATGCGATCCACTCTGAGCCCTGCTTTCACATCCAGCAAGATGAAGAGCATGTTCGTCTTGATAACAGAATGTGGTAAACAGCTAACTGACTTCCTGGAAAAGTGTATTAATGACAAAAACATGACAATTGAAGGCTGCAAGATAGAACGAGGTAAGTAATACCATAACACAAACCACTTACGCTAGCCTGATTATGTACATGTAAACATATGGAACCTTGAATTCCGTGTGACCGCGTTCGAACATGTGCCGAAGTAAAGTTTCTGGAAGCGGTGTAAAGGTAAAACAAAAAGGTTCTGGATTACTTGAAGTAATCTAGTTACTGTGTTTTTCATTTATTTGTTTTGTTACTTTTATATTATTTGTTTACTTACTTACGTTATTTACTCATGTGCTTTCTTAATTAACTTTGCACGTATGTTTCTTCATGCATTTACCATTGTTCTGGGATGTGATGCAGTGCAGTCCGAATAGAACTTCATTGACGTTTCGGAGTAACATATTGTAACGTGTTTCGTTACCGAATACGCCTTAGAGATCGTTAATTGATTTATTGAACAATCTACAAATAACGGCTACAATTAATTATCACAATATTACGGGTTTCCACACTTTACAAACCCTACAACAAAATCTCTTAACACAATCTTCACTTGTCTTCACGTACTAATAACGCAGGAGCTATACAAGTCTCCCTGAATTACACACTCCCAAATACACAATCACACACACGTCCGGTTCTTCTTTCCGCGACGGCGGCTATACTCCAACAGTAGGCGGCTGACTGGAGAACTGTTGATATCACACTCGGCGACTATTACTTTACAACTCGGAGACTGCCCACATTACAACTCTGCTGTAGCCACATAACAACTAACTCGTAGCTGCTGTGCAGTTCCCTTATATAGCCGCAGTGGTGCCTGTTGCCACNGGGGTGGGAGGGGTCAACATGTCACACTGCTCCCTCCTTAAGGCTGTTCGTCCCGAATAGCCTAACGGTGCATCCCCGTTCCTTTTCCTCGGTGACTGTTCTTGCAGCATCTTCTTTGTGTCCTCCTACTGTTACAACGGCTCCCTTCTTAAGATCAACTCGTCTCGAGTGGTTTCCTTTCAGCCCGGCAGAAGATCCAGTTGTGTCCCATTCATCCATCGCTTTCATTATTCCTTGGGAGGCCGGTACTTCTACACTACCGGTTCCTCCTCTGCTTGAAGTCTCTTTTTCCGTTTTGGAGGGGGTCATCCCCTTCACGAGGTCAATCCTTCATCAGGTCTTTCGTCGGAAATTTCTTATATCGACGTAACAGCTCTTGATGCGTTGTTTGCACTCGCTGACGTCGTTGTTCCTCCTGGACTTCTAGCCGCTGGCTGGTACGAGACCTTGGTGCCCAGTCCTTTGTACGGTATCCGAAGGTTCCCTGGGGAATTTCCTTCTTGAAGTCATTTCTCCAACGTCGTGCCACTGTCGCGCGACAGGATATCTTCCTGCAGATGGCAGCCAACTTTATCCGGGACACATGATCTCCTTGGGTCCAAGATTTCCTGAAGATGATTCTCCGGCGCCATGACACTCTTGCACGGCGGGACACCTTCCTGCTGACGACAGCCAATTTATTCTGGTGTTCGCAATTTTCCCGAGTCGGATTCTTCTTATTTCGTCGAATGCGGTCCCTGCGCCTTTACTTCTTCGGTTCTCTGACCGGCATTACTTCGGCGTCTTGTACGGGTACCTCTAGTAGTTCTGCCGCCTCAGGTTTCCTGTGCACTGAAGCCGGCTTTTCGTGTTCTGGACGTGCCTCCGTTTCTTGGTAGGTCATCGTCACGCCGACCGATATCACTATGGGGACCTCTTCTTGTTGTGCCGTCGCAGGTTTTACGTCCGTTGTAAAGGAACGAATTCAGTAGCATTGACGTTTAATTGTGAGGAAGTTGTGCCCCGTTGGAAGAGTGCGTAAACAGTAGGGTCTTTGTAGATAACTGCTTTCCCAGGATGTACGCGACCCTCGACCGGGTAGCCTAGCTGTAGAAGCTGATTTGAACTTAAGATATAATGACAGAAATATCGAAAGGATTCTGTTCGTTAGGTTCATCTCGGAATGCAGGCGTAGTGCGGGGGCACTGGTGATAATTTGTCCATTTATTTTCCCGTGTCCAGAATCGACTGACCGTAAACCCCTGGCTCCGCTCGTGACGTCACCGCGCGTTGCGCCTTGCATAGCTACCAGGATGCGGGGTGATTACTCGCCTATTACGCGAGCACTACGTTACAGCTACGTGCAGCTGGGGAGGTAGGGGTCAACATGTCACATTTACCATTGTTCCGGGATGTGATGCAGTGCAGTCCGAATAGAAGTTCATTGACGTTTCGGAGTAACATATGGTCTCATTCTTGAGGATCGAAGGGTAAGCGAAGCAGACAACCAGCTCTTAGCACTAAAGATGCAAGCGGTATACCCCTCCGAAATTTCGGTGATTTTCTACCTGACCATACGGCATCGCGTGTCTGAAGAAATTATTCTTCATTTTTTCATGTATCTATACATCTATTTAGACCGCCTCTGTTGTCAAGTGGTCAGAGTTTCTGGCTACAGATCCAGATGTCCAGGGTTCGAGTCCTGCGCTACCAGAATGTGGTAAACAACTGAATTCCTGGGAAAGTGTATCAAGGACAAAAACGTGACAATGCAAGGCTGCAAGATAGAATGAGGCAAGTAAGTAAAAGTAAAAACGTAAAGGTATCACTGTAACAGGCTGTGGAGGCCCATAGGGTTGTGAGATGTTGAGGTTCCCACATTTTCTAGACAATCGGCTCATAGAAGGAGCCAAGGTTGCTCATTTCTGTTAGAGGCTGAGTCGACCCCAGCGCCATAGTGCGGCTGGAAGGATTAGGTCAATTGAAAAAATCCAATGACCTCATCAGGACTTGAACCCGCGACCTTCTGGCTTGTAGCATAGTGCTTCAACCAACTACGCTACCGCGTGCCCCCTAGAATAAGGCAAGTAATACCATAAAACAAAGCCACTTACATCAATCTGAGCATTTATACGTAAACATACATAGCTTGAATTCGTTGTGGCCGCATTGGAAACTCTGCCGAAGTGACTTTGTGGTCATCATCAGGTGTTTCTGTTTCTATTTCCATGCTTATATAAGTCCTTTCGATTTGTGTATTCGAGTTGGTGGGTTGTATTCTTACTTGTTGTGTGTTGTGCTGCGTGTCTTGTTTCAAGTGCTTATTAGCAACCTAAGCAACGAGACAGACGGCAGCATTGTCGCCGTCCAATAATCCATTAAATATTAATAAAGACAACAAAAAAACAGAAAACATTCACCGTAGATCGAATGATATGTATGATTGTAGAAAAACTTTAAAAAATGGAAGCATTGTCTGAAGTGTCCCGACTTTTCATCCTTGGTTTAGTAGCCACTTTGTTTAAAATATTTCAGCAAGTATACCCGTTGCTATTAATGACTTTGCCAACAGAGCCCTTTGTTACGCAACAGATTATTAACACGCACCATCAGACTGGGAAGTAAAGTTCTCTGCGCGGTTCATGCGACAGCTGCGTGACGCAGCAATAAAATTTTGGGAGAGGTGTTTTCTATACAGTCTTTAAAGAGGTGTTAAAAGCAAGACAAGTCTAGAGTTTAGTCAGTTGTAAGATATTCGCCAGTCATTAAGGACGTGAACACGGAAGTTGGGGGACTTATGGCTTTGGAAGCCATTATAAGGCGACAACCGGCGAATATATAGCACACTGAGAATACTTGCGTGCTGTAGTGAATTGCAGAGTGTGCGAATTAAATATAAATATTTGAGGCTAAAAAGTGGTTTGTATTATTATATTTCTGAGCGTAGTACTGCTATTGAGAGTCGGCTGCTATGGGACACACGGCTCTGTGAGAGGAGGCATGGGTGCCGGCGTAAGAACTTGAAGCTATTCAGTGAACAATTGTAAAACCGTCTGCTTCTTCCTTTTCTAACTGCTCCACCTGAAAGTTGAACAGCCAGGCATATGAAATAAATTTTCAGACCATAATCTTATTTGTATTTACTATTTCTGTGATGTAACAATATGAACCAAGTTTTGTTCCCATGAAAACTTACAATTTGGTTGTCTGCCAAAATGTTATCGAAATACAGCAAGGTGCTCCGGAGATGAAATGTTCAGAATTAAAGATATGGATTTCACATTATTCGTTTGTTTCGCGAAATCTGTGCAGCTAACGTACAAGAGATTGAATTATAATCTATTTAAAAATACCAAATTATACGTATCTTTATTTACACACCGTTGGTGTGGTATTTAAAACAAAGATAGGTTCAGTCCCCTTCTTATTGTATTCTTTGTGTGTTTCAGAAGGTAATATTCTGGCCGTGGAAATGAAAGACTTGTTCACAAGATACACAAATGATGTAATTGCTACGTCAGCATTTGGAATTAGTTGTGATTCACTAAACAATCCTAGAAATGAATTCTATGAGACGGGAAGATACGTTACCAACTTCAGCGGTATCAGAGCCATAATATTTCTTGGCTACTTTTTCAGCCCAAAGCTCATGAAGGTAAGAACATTATTCATGTTAACGTTAATACTGAAAAAGTCTACAAGTCTAGGAATGTCTCTGTTATCAGACCTTCAGAATTCCTTTCACTGTTGAAATTTGTAGAATATTGGCTCAGTGCCTCACCCACTGTCAGATTCTATTCTTCTTCTCTTCTTTCTTACATTTTTCTTCTCTCATATTCTTGCTTCTTCTCCTCCTCCTCCTCCTCCTCCTCCTGGTATTGTTACTGTTTGATGTGGGTCGATTGACTAGAAGTCTCAGAGCTCTTTCCCCACTCCCATTTCATTTTCTTGCTAGCTCTTTCCTGTCTTCTTGATGTCTTCAAGTACCTGCCTGAACCATCTTGTTCTGGGTCGTCGTTTACGTCCCTTTCCTATAAATTTAAATTCCAATGCCCTTATCTCTATCCTTGGTCTAGCCAGTCTTTTTGTGTGGTCAAATTATTGTCACCGATTCTCTTCCAAATTTGTAACACATTTTCAATTCCAAATTCTCTTCTAGAAATATAATTTTAAATGAATCGTGTTATATTTTCCCCTTGCATTCTGGATTTGTTTCTCTTTGCGAGTGTCCATGTTTCGGATTTCTGTAGAATGGCACCAGATGTTACTTTTGAGTATATACTGGTGAAGCCAACAAGGACTTTGCTGCATGATATTAGCTAGCTAACCATTCAGTCAGCCATTCATTCAGTTTATTAGTTATGTAGTTATGACAGAAGCAATCTCTGTTCTCTGTTTCACGATACCAGCTTCTGAACATGAAATTGATGTCCAAAACTCTGGCGAACTTCTTCCGTTCCTTGGTACATAATACAATTTCAACGCGGGAAGAGAAAGGCATTGTGAGGCCGGACATGATCCATCTGCTCATGCAGGCCAAGAAAGGAACACTTCAGGGGGAAGATAATGGTACAACCAATGGCAAGATTACCAAGCCAAGTATGTATGATAATAATGTAATGTAATATAATATATTATGACATGACGCTTGAAAGCCGGAATAATGGAGTCAAAGCAGATGTTCATTAATTAGCAACGACTGGGTAAACAAGTTCCCGCGGCAAAGGAATAAGCAAGCAACAATCCGCATAGGCTGCTGCACATTTTTCACTGACAGAAGTCCCTTTACATATTAGAATTTGATTTCAGTTTATACTTCTGAAGAGTGTAAAAGAAAAATATTTATATATCACATATTTACTCCTATGAGAATAATGTAACCACAAGGGGAATAAGGTGAGAAAGTGAACACCAATTAAATAAAAAGACCAACCCCTCCTTTTTATCATTAAAGAAGAACAACGAAGAGGGATAAAAGGTATAGACACTAAACCAAAATATGGCCAAGGGGCCCAGCGGCGCCCAACGCTAGGAGTGACTGTGCTGGCGGGATTGCCGGCAGTAAGCTTCGCTCTGTTCTGCTGACCGTCCCTCTCGTCAAAGAGGGCGCCCAACAAAACAAGACCGTTACTGTCAAACAGTAATAAATATTTGGTCATGAGCCCCAGATGGGGCCCGACACCTAGACATACTGATCGTCAGTCGCAATGTGACTTTGACTTTTGCTGATCGTCAGTCGCAATGTGACTTCGACTTTGTTTAACATTTTTCAATAACCCGTGTGGAGGCGGGTTCGGATATCTCCACAGTTACACTGCGAGTTGAAGAAGGCGACGAAAGGAGAAGTCTCAAATCTGAAAGGATAAAATAGGGTCGCGAGTCCCCAGGGACTCGGATCCGCGAGACACTGTGCTGGCAAGGGCCAACAGCATAAAAAGAAAGAAACATATCCTCCCCTCAGAGAGGGCGCCCCACAAAAACAAGAAAGTGATTCTCAGTTCTCCCATAGAGAAGAGCTCTAGCGTGTCTGAGTACATGAAACAAATTCATGCACCAGTATTCATCGATCCTTCACAAAACGGTTTCTTCCGGATCCACCTCCGCGAGCATTGATACAGAGGTGGTTTGACAAGTTTGAAAACCATGGATACTTTTGTAAGAAGGAAAACAGTGTCCTTCCTCATGTGAGTGATGAGGCTGTATGGCAGGTGGAGGCAAGGAAATTTGCGTGGAAAGGAAGCCGCGAATTACAGATGCCGAAAGTGAGGCGGTATGGCAAGATCAATGCAGACGAGTTCGCATGAATCCTTACAATGCCACGCTGCCAGACCGTTGGACTGGGGGAGCTGGAGCTGCAGATGAAGTGGCCTCCTCGCTCTCCCGATCTCACTCCATATGACACCTTTCCATGAGGCTATGTAAAGGAACCAGTGTTTGTGTCACCTGCACCGCTGCGTATTGATGCACCGAAGTTGAGAATTACAGCAGCTGCCGAGACAACTGAAGGGAACATGTTAGAAAGAGTATGGGATGACCTAGAGGGGAGATTGGACATTTGTTGGGCTCCCATTGAGCATCTTTAGGATACGTTAAACTTGCAGATTTCGTCATGCAGATGACACTAGTTACAACTGCATAGCTATAATGCTTACCTTGGTATGACAAATTAAAAGAGTTTCAGTCAATTACCGACACACTGTACGTTAACTGAAATTCAGGGTGTCAGTGCAGAAACCCCTGCACTTGAAATTCGGAAAAAGTTTTTTCTGTTTACAACGGTTGCTCCCATTTAACGCCTCTAAGTACTTATCTCGCATGTATGTTGGTTTTATTTCCTTACTAACACAATTCATGAGGGCCAGGTCATATGAAGAATCTTGCAATAAGTACCAAAATTCTTTGGAATTTCGCGTACAGAAATTTGTGGTACGTACTTTATATTTCTTCGAATATGCGGTTAACTTCTATTAGAGATTGTTTTATGACGCTGTCAAAATCTAGACCATACATTACACGTACTGTCGGCGAAGAGGGTATGCATGAGGAAAATGAAGAATTCTACATCGGATGATTGGATTTATTGACACTCCGGTTACAAACTCTCTTAATTACAATTACTACAACGCTATCCCTGATTTACACATGTTACAGTTCACTTTTACACACGCACTAGGATTCTCAGCCTTCATTAGTCGTCTCCTGGTAAATGAATTAAAACACTAACACTGTGATTAAACCTTCCACTTAAACACAACGTTTTCACAGGAAGACTTCCAATTCTTCAATTACGAACTTCCCGACATCTGACTTGAACTATCTCAACGCAGAAACTAGTATTTAAAGGAAAATAAAGTCTTGCCATTTCTTTCTCAGGCACCATGGAACCTCGGAACACAACTGCAATTCATCTACTACTCACTCCTCTAGGTTATTGTTCAGCTTCGGAATTCAGCTCATTTATGTAGAAGCAGCAAGAGCACGTATCACAGAAAACATATGTCACGTGATTGCTACCCATCCCGTCGATTGGCGCACTGGATGTTGGCTAAAAAAACATATCACTTAACCGGTACCCACTTTTGTTTCAGGCACTGCTTACGCGGAAGTGTGTTTACCGAGCAGCTGAATAGAAACGGGTAGTATTGCATAGCTGTTCTGTTGTTTCGTTCTTGTATTACTTGGCAACGGCTCTTTCTGTTGCTCAACCGTTCTTGCATGGAGCAAATATGCTACAGAATTGTAGGATGAATTGTAAGTTCAAAAGGATTTCGAAAGATACGATCGTGACCTAATTCACATGGTGAATGTTGTACTCTGATAGTCTCTCTGTCTAGCGCCATCCGAAATCAGTCATTTAAATACTCATGGATGACGTAATATTCCAGAACCTTCTGCTTCCAGATAATTCTCGAAGCTCCCACACTGTTCTACCGATTGAGTATGTTCTGGAAAATTCTTTAAGTAGGCTAGTGTGGTGAGATAAGCAATTCATATGCCGCACCGGCTATCAAAGATCATTCTAGTAGATATCATCTAAACAATCCCGCAGCGAATTCTTAGAATAGTTAATGGAAAATTGGGTATGTCATATTTAGTACACGACTGGTATCAAGTCATCAGTATTAATATTTAAGAATTAGACCGGTGAGTAAAGATCGGTTTGGCCGCACTATAGCTCAAGTGGTTAGTCGCTGCCTTTCCTCCGCGGTGGCCCAAATTCGATCTCAGGTTTGGTCAAGTGAGATTTGTGGTGAACAAAGTGGCGCTGGTCGGGTCTTTCGAGTACTTCGGTTTCCCCTGCCAATCTTCATTCCACCAAATTTTCCATCATAATCACCCGGGGCAGGCTACAATAGGCCAATAAGTGGCTGCTGTGCCGAGTGGACCCAGTTGGACTCCACCCCCCATTAAGCGAATTTAAAAAAAAAGATAGGTTACACTGTGAACAAATCTTGATCGTTATATTTAAGTCTCCCAGACAGACAACCCAATAGTCGACGATTTTTCTGTTTCGGAAATAAGACACAGCTGTTTTCAAAACCTTAATATTTCGCATAAAAGTCTACGATGGTAGTTCAATGATAGACTGAAATTTATCCCTCCTGAAGACGTGGGAACCGTTTAAATTAATCTCTTTTACGAAATGTTGGTATTAACACTGTATTCACTGTGGCCATGTACCGTGCTTGTAGCTTGAGATGGCGTCAGACCTTGTCACTCCTAGTGTAGAAGAGCGTTGTGACATTAAATTCCTAGAATGTTAACCAGCAGAAATACGAGGGAACGTCAACAAGTAAGTTACAAATGGATATAGAATTTAAACAAATAAGAGTACTGATTTGAAAAATGCTTTTATTTCTCAACATAATCTCCCTGTACATTGAGGCACTTGTCCCGTCGTTACACAAGCCCCTGAAAACCAGCAGCATAACATTCTTTGTGCTGCTGTCGGAACCAGGCGGTGATTTCCCTATCTACAGCTCCATTGTCGGGAAAATGTTCAAGCTGAAAGATGATGTTTAAGAGGGCCGAACAAATGGAAGTCTCTTGGAGGAAGGTCGAGGCTATACGGCGAATGCTCGAGGACTTCCAACTTGAAATTTCGCAGCGTCTCATTTGTCTTGATGGCACTATGGGGACTTGTGTTGTCATGCAAGAGCAACACGCTTTTTCTGAGGAGTCCTGGTTGCTTCGTTGAATGGCCTTACGAAGTTTCCTGAGAATGTTACAGTAGGAATTGACATTTACGGTTTGTCCTTGAGGCCGGAATGCGGTGAGCAGTATGCCTTCGTGAGACAGAAAAGGGGGACTGATCTGGTATACAGATGGTTCCAAGACAAATAAGGGCACTGGAGCTGGTGTGTACTGCCATGGCACGAGGCGGAAACTTAGTTTCCGCTTTGGGCGGTACATGACAGTATTCGAGGCAGAAGTATATGCCATTAAAGCATGTGTTATGGAGAATTTATAGGAACTATAGAAATATGAATATCTACATTCTATCTGACAGCCAAGCTGCACTTAAAGCGCTTGACAAACATCAGATTAATTCAACATTGGTCTGGGATTGCCACCAAACCCTCATGGAACTGGCCAAACATAACAGGGTACAACTGATATTGGTGCCTGGGCATGGGGGTATTGCTGGAAATGAAGCAGCAGACCAATTAGTTAAAATTTGAGCTGAACACCCGTTCATAGGACCTGAACCAGCCTGTGGCATCTCTCTAGGAGTTGCCAAACAGGCAATCAGCCACTGGACTAACATGAAACACAAGGAATACTGGGAATCCTTAACTGGACTCAGGGAAGCAAAGGGACTCATACCAGGACCTTCTGCTAAAAGAGTTAAGAAACTGTTGAAGTTCAACAGGAACCAGCTACGATGGGTGGTAGGACTACTTACAGGACACTCTCACCTCAAAGGAAACCTGTTCAAACTGGGATTGAGTGATAGTCCCACCTGTGAGACGTGTCGGATAGAAGATGAAACAACCACACATGTCCTGTGTGAATGTGAGGCATTAGCTTATTTAAGATTACGTCACTTGGGCCAGTACTTCATGGAACCAAGTGACTCTTTTGACGCCCCCACGTCC